GGCCAATATCTTAGCCGTGAGTGCACTATCTGAGCTGTCGGCAAAGTCTTATTTAGGACCTCAAGATTACTATCCACGTGAGAGCCGCGTAGGTCCAGGTTTGCCTGGACGCTGCCTTTAAGCAGTCTCTTGTAAGAACCACTTGCATTTGGCTCATCAGTCGTCTACAGACACAGTTCTTTATTGAATCGGGGATCACTTTGCGAATTTATTCTGCATTTTTGGAAAGAAAACGCGTCATCTTGTACAGATAGCGCCAGATGACCAGCCATTCGAGAAGCCGCAGCGGTTCAAGATCATCTGGACGTTCGCGCCATAGGCATGGGACGCATTCGCGAGACGGTTCTCGCCCGAGAAGCCGTTCACGAAGACGATCTTCTAGCACGTCGAAAAGTCGAAGAAGTCGTGACCGGCGAACCACCGAAAAAAGGTAGATTGGGTTTTGATCTTTAGTTCAATGAGCGAGCAGGCTTTTTATGGTCGGAAAGAAATCTGCGTTTTCTTCCCACTGTTATGTTTTCAATCATCGATCAAATGTGCTTCGCACATCCGCCAACATTGTTTTTGTTCGTCATCTTATTCCTGGACATCTCGATGAAGATCTCCTTGACTATGTTTTCAGTATGGATGCAAGTCCTAATAGCCGCTCAAATAGCCACTCACCGTCGCCATCAAATGGTAGAGGAGATGAGAGCTCTCCGACACGTCGGGACAGAGGTCGTTCGGTATCAAGAAGTCGCAGTGAAAGCGACCATGAAACAAGAAGCCGAAGGTGGGTCTTACAGCTAAGAAAACCTTGCCAGGTAGGTGTACCATGAAAATTGCTTCAAGTTTTTTAAAGTTTTTTTTTGTGTTTCTGGACTATTAGTTGGTGCATAGGTGAATCTGAGTAGCGAATAACTTGTTCTTGCCTTTATCGCGAACTTGGGTAAATTCAATGACCTTGTTCCACGATCTTTGTAGAATCTGGTAAATTTCACCAATAACCATAACATGTCAGATCTAATTGAATTTACTTTTTTACGATTTCAGCCGCTCGCGCTCTCCTGATTTCGAAAGAAGCGAGATATTGCGTGACTCTTGGGCTGCACTAAAACGACAGCCTGACAACTTCGATGCTTGGATTATGATTCTTACCCAGGCGGATCAGTCTGTATGTGAATTCCTTGTAAATCGTTGCAAAAAGCACCATTGAATTCCATCCCAGAATGATGTGAAGCTAGCACGCGATATTTATGACCGATTCTTGAAGAAGTATCCATACTGCTATGGTTTCTGGAAGAAATACGCGGAAATGGAACGCCGTCATCAAAATTTTTCGGATGCTCTAAGCGTATGTCTGATTTGCCATATGGATTTTTCAGGATTGGCTTTAGTCAACTATTTCAAGGTATGGGAACGTGGAATACTTGCCATACCATTATCTATCGATTTGTGGCTTGGGTTTCTTTCCTTCATGCGAGAATTAGCACCACAATCAGACAGAGGAATAGAGAAGCTGAGAGAGTAGGCTTTCCATACCATATTTTTGCCCTTTTTCTTTTGCTGATAATTATAAGTTTGCAGGTTGTACGATAGAGCAGTCTCGACCGCAGGTCATGAATTTCATAGCGATCGTCTTTGGCAAGACTATATCGCGTGGGAGGAAGCGCAAGGAGAATGGCGACGAGTAGCTGAAATTTATGATCGATTGATCCGCATTCCCACTGCTTTGTACAAAAGTCATATGGAAAGGTAGGCAAAGGATGCGTGCAAGCTTTTGCAATGGAAATTTTCTGATTTGTCTCCCATTATTCAACAATTATATTGACAAGGGAATGGTCAGAAATCGAAGTGGCCAATCCA